ATTTATTATTTTGATATGCTAAAATAAAAATAAAATTTTAAAAATAAAATAAAATAAATATTATTTTAATATATTTTCAAATATGAAATAATTATTATGACATTTTCCAACATTTTCTATATGCAATTAGACCATTGATGACACAAATGGATTGCAATGGCGGTCAAAGATTTGGTTACTGTCTCCATGAATAAGTGAGTGATTACTTTTTTTTTTAATTCAATTAAAAAATAAACAGATTTAATTTTGATGTGAAAAAATTGGGTAAAATAGTGTAAAACCACAAATCTAATGTTTATGCATAGATGATGCAATTTATGTCACTTGTGAATGAATTCAGGACTGTAAGCAAAGAAAGAAAGGAAGGGAGGAAAACTAATCTTGTGGTACGTGTCGTGATAATTAATAATTTTCTATTAGTTTGGTCATATGATTTATTTTTAAAAAATATAAACAAAGTTGAGAAAAAAAATAAAATTCATAATCTATCAAAAATAATAAAAATATACTCTGATATCTATTTATTTTACTTTATCTATCTATTTTTTCTAAAAATAAATTGGAGAGTAGCCAATAAATGAGGATCGGTTATCTCACCAGCATCATAAAATTTCTAGATATTTATCTAGTTTTCTCAACAATATGAACCCCTTGACCTTTTTGATAATTTATTTTTAATTCCCTGTAGCTGGTTTGTTCAAGTATGAGAATAAATAATTTAGAATTGAAAAGGATACTATAAGAAAATAATTACATATAAAACTATAGATATCAAATACAAATATAGAAGGATTAAATTAAACAGTAGAATAAAAAACTTAATTTTGATTTGTAAACATTGGCTCAAATATACTTTAACCATTAAAAAAGACAATAACAAGAAGAGTTATTATTGGGCAAATAGCTTATGCCTTGTAGATGTGGTGATGCCCGTGAGACCATGAGAAGAAAGGGTACGGAAATCAAAATCAACACTTTAGAAGGGAAAAAGCTAGCTAGCTGGCAATCAATCAACCATGAAGAGAACAAGGGAGCATAAAAAAGGCATTACCGGAAAGGAAGAAAGTGATTGACAACACCGTCCCAAGTTCTTTCTTGTGTGAGGTTAGAAAAACCTATAAAGACAAAATTCCCGTGACTTCCTTGTTATTTCCATTGTCTTTCCTTCGAAAAATAGCGATGGCCCCGAGTATCATCCATTGATTCAGTTTTTGTAAAAATTATCTTGATAGTATTTAAGATTATAGTTATAATAATTTTTAAAGTATTTTTTATTTTAAAATATATTAAAATAATATTTTAATAACAGTACATCAAAATAATTTAAAATTATAAAAAAAATTATTTTGAAGCAAAAATAGTAAAAAAAATTCAAAAAGCTTTTTAAATATAAAAACAAAGATGCTACTTAAATGTGTTTGTTTTTACTTCTGTTTTCGGGTTTGCTATGGGGTACAATACTCCATAATAAAAAAAAACATATTGGCGAAAACAACAAATTCATGTTTTTGTTTTTTACATTAAGTGGTGACCCCATTACAAAAAAAAAAAACAACAATAAAAACAAATATACACTGTATTATGTTATTAACATGTGTTTAAAAACATATGTTATTTAAATGTTTATTGTTTTAAAATATATTAAAATATTTTTTATTTTTAAAATTTTATTTTTAATATCAATATATCAAAAGAACTCAGAATTATATAAAAAATATTTTAATAAAAAATTTATATAAAAAAATAAACATAAAAACAAACATACTGTTTTCACCATGCATGCTTGTCATCCCCGCGGTGCCTTACCTGCTCACTGGACTTACAGGATGTTCAGTGGGCCGTGGGGATTAGTCGTGGTGCGCGTAAGCTGACCCGGACACCCCACGTCAATTAAAAAAAAAAACAATTGCAAAAACAAACACTGCATTATGTTATCTTTTTCCTTTGATTTTTTTTTTTTGTAAAAGAAACATGCTTGTTTGACATTGAGTGCAAGATAGGAGAAAATTATGTCATTGAAAGAGTAAATAATGACAATTACATCAAAATATAGACATGAAGAAAAACAGAGGATAAAGCATCATTTCGTAATCCAAATGAAGCATCAAACTATTTGTGTTAGTATTTCTTTTTAAAATAGATCTATAAAATAACCTATGATATTTATTTAAAGAATAATATATAATTTCTTATCAAAATAGCTAATTTTAGAAAAATCTCTATTATTTACAATCCATGTTCCTTTGTATCTCTTTTATCCGTAGCTGCTAACACAATTACAGTTAAAACATTTTTCCTTTCCAATGCAGCCCCTAAAAGCTTTTCATATTTTTAAAATGTGTTTAGTATTATGAAAATAATTATTTTTTAAAATATATTGAAATTATATATTTTTTATTTTTTAAAATTTATTAATGATAACATTAACAAAATTAATATAAAATAAAAAATAAAAATAATTTTAAATTTATTTCAAAATACTTTTGATACTAAAAAACAAACAATCTAAAAAAAAATATTTCAAAAAAACACAAAATCTTAATCTTAAATTATTTTTCCCATGTTATAATTAAATATATTTCTACCATCGTACCATGAAACACAAAACTCGAAAGCAAAAGCACACTCGTACCGCGGTAATTAGAATCGAAATCAAGTTTCAACATCATCAACAGCGATTAGTAGATTACCAGACAACAAATCCTCTGGCTCTCGTGAAGCTTTGGTGGGGCCCCTTCATCACCCATTAAATATTAATCACGGCGAATTATCCCTCCATCAGGTTTCAAAATACTAATCATAAGCCTATAAGGACGCGGTTGCATTACATTCATCCGTGATGTCCGTTTCAGGCCCGTTTATAGGCTCCGCTTTAAACCTTAATTTAATACTGCCTTCTCTCTCTCTCTCTCTCTCGCGTTTTCTTTTTAAAAAATAATTGTTTATTTATTGATTAAATGTGTAATTACAGGGGTACCATGACAGTATGAGACTTTTTACTGGGGCCCAGGACAGAAGTCCGGATGAACATAAAATTATATAATCCACGGCTGTTGTTTGAGAGATATAATTAATTAACTGCATGGTTTGTAAGGATTAACTTATTTTGTTTAAGAGATATAATCCACCGTGCTTTAAAAAAAATATTTATTTTTTATATTTTTAAATTATTTTAGTGTGTTAACATCAAAAATGAAAATTATTTTTTTAATATATTTTTTAAAAAAACCTTAAAAATAATAAGTAACACAATAATAAACACTGAAAAAAATTTATTTTAAGCTCTACTTGGTGTGTGCGTGTATATATAAATATATCTTGAATTACAGTAAAAATTATTTTAAAAAAGCTACAGTTTATAATTTTTTTTAAACTACAGATGTAAAATAAATCATTAAAGAGTTGGAAATCATGTGTTAAAAAAAGAAGAAATTTTATTCCTTCAAGCTTTTCAATGCCGTGGTAATTTATTAATCAACTAGGTTGGCAGTTGACTACCAATACTAAATTCACTTCTATTTAAATCTCAAATTAAATTATTTATATATGAATTGATGTATTTTAATACGAAGAACAAACTTACAAGAGGCTTTTAAAAATAAAATTGTCAATTTGTATAAACAAACATTTGGTATATTCAAAATTTAATGGCCACGCAATACTAATTTAAAAGTCACCATAGGGTTTGAAATTCAAATTTAATTTTTAATAGAATTAAAATCATAGACAAAATATAAATTGAATCTACATCCTTTTTTTCCTCCTTAAAAAAAATATTTATATCAAAAGGAAAATAATTATCCACTCCAACTAGTTGAAGATAACAAGCAAGTCATTCTCAAATTATTTGTAGAAAAACAAGAAATGGATTTAAATAAAATATTACAACAATAAAATATTTTTTTAATCACATCCATTGCTTGAATTAAAAGGCAATCAAGCCAATAATCTATGATTCCACTAAAAAGGGTGGATAATTTATGACTCATAAATATCCACCACATGATGATGATGATTAAATATTAGACGAGCCAAGATCACCACATGCACGTATAATCCGTGGAGTGAGAACCACTCGATCCCTACCGACCAAGGACAAATTAAATAATAAATTAATACATACGGCTTTAAAATATCAAAACATAGCATGATCCAATACATCCCTCCTCGCACATTAAACTCCACGATGCACGCCTTGTCTTAGCTAAACGACACCACATACGAGGCGTCATTCAACCTCTTTTTTTCACCAAAATTATATCCCCAAATTCCCACCATCTTAATTCTTAGCCCCAAAGACTTTATTCTTTTTCATAATAAACCCAAAAAATATAGTAATATTAATTTGCATTTCCATTAAAAACACTGATCTCGCAAAAACATTTCTAAATTATAGGTTACTTTGTGTTGATACATCATGTATTATTTACTTTTATTTCATTTTTAAACTAAAAAATACTCTATATTTGATAATCATATTATTTCTATATTAGCATAAGCACATCCACTATTGTTTTTTTAAATTATTTATAACTTTTTTAAAATATTATATTAAGCTTATAGTTTTTTTTTTTAAATTAAACAAGTATTATTGTGTCTATCAATTATAGAAGGGACTTGTTTTATTCTAGAGTTCAACTATGTTTATTATTTTTATAGTATTTTACCTGTTAATTAAATTTATAAGATATTCAATGGATTTAAAAATTAATTATGATGTATATAAATTAGTCTGAATATCCAAATCAACAAAAAAAAATAAAAATATTACTATACAAATAAATTTTTTAGGCAAAATTTTTATATCAACACAAGCAACAATTTTATTTTACCATTGAATGGTAAAATAATACTTTTTATTAATTCATAGTTTGTATTTGTATTTCAATGAGAAGGACGGTGAAATTACATTTTATACACGGAAAAACCTGAAAAATATTATATTTACAGTATTAAAATGGAAGTAATAAATAACACGAGGCGTTGATTCACACTCTCACTCGGAAGAAGCCTCTCCACGTCTTTTTCTACATCGTTTAGACGCATTCATTTTCGCTAACCAAAAAAATAAAAAATAAAAAATAAAATCCCTCTCCTCTCCCTCGTCCTCTTCCTCGAGAAATGTAAGAGAGCGGAAAATCAAGCAACACAGGCAGATACAGAGTGCAAAATCAGGGTTTATTTTGAGCAACTGATAGCTCGAGATTATAGTCAAAATGCCGTTGACGAGATACCAGATAAGGAACGAGTATAGTTTAGCCGATCCAGAGCTGTACAAGGCTGCTGATAAAGATGATCCAGAAGCGCTTTTGGAAGGTGTCGCCATGGCTGGCCTCGTCGGCGTCTTGCGCCAGCTCGGTGACCTCGCCGAGTCTGTCTCTTTCTCTCGTTTTCTTTTGGCTTGAGCTTGACCTGTGTTTGTTTGTTGCGTGAAATGCTAGTTTGCTCGGGCATGAGTTTGAGTTGGAAAGCGTGTTTTTGGATTTTTGAGTTTTTAGATTGGATTTATTTTTATATTCTTTTAACCTTCTGTTATGGAAATGCTGAATAAATCTCTCTCTTTTTCTAAATTTAGTAATTGAGTTTTGTGCTGAATTGGAAATTTTAGTTAAGATTTTGAGCAAAATTAATTTGAAGAATTATGCTGTTCATTCTCATGGACTTATTTATTAAAATTTAAAGGATTTTTTAACTGATAGAAACAATGAATTGTAGTTCAAAATGGCTGGGAAATAAATAGAGAAGAACAATGTCATTTCTAAAGAGCAGGTTCTCCTAATGGAATATTTATGTATATATAGCTGAAACAATGGCATAGGCTGTAAGTTGATTGGTAATAATGCGCTGTTTGATCATGTGTTCGTATGAAAGTCTATTCGTAGAGGAAAATAGCATTCTTTTCATTTCATAATCTAGAAAGCATGTTATAGCAGTTTTGGAAATTGTTTAATGTGTTAAATTTCACATTCGTTCGATTTTATGATTGGAGTTTATAGTGTTATGTTGTCACCTTCATGTTTCTTGAGACAGATAGTCGGTTTCTGTTACTCACGGTGTAATATGTTTGTGTTTGGTAATTGTTTAATTAAAGATGTTGTGATGTGGCGATTTTGGAACCATTAAAAGAATGAGCGCTTAAAGGAATTGACAAAATTAATCGTTCACATAATGGGGCACAATGTTGATCTGTCCAATCTTGAGATTTTACTGGAGTGCTGTAGTTCATGCCATGCCCAGTAGTGTCAAAAGTAGTATCTGTTTATTTGGTCTCTGTGGCTTAACTTCTATCCACGTTGTTATAGTACTTTGCGATGATTTCTGCTCTCCATTGTAATTCCAACATGAGAAATGGTTTTGATGGCCTTTTTTCCTGGTTTTAAAAGGTTCGCTGCTGAGATATTTCATGGACTGCATGAAGAAGTTATGACAACTGCAGCAAGAGGCCATGGGCTGATGGCTCGGGTACAACAGCTTGAGGCAGAATTTCCTTCAATCGAGAAGGCATTTCTCTCCCAAACTAATCATTCACCATTCTTTTCCAGCTCAGGTTTGAAAACAATATGTTTTTCTAATTGTTTTATGACCTGTTGGTGTCTGGTATTGGTCTTTTCACTAGTAGGATGGAAACATAACCCAGCTGTGTCTTTTCTTTCTTTGATGTTCTAAACCTTGCTAGGTAGCCTACCTTATATAAAAAAAGGGTAACTTGGTCTTCTTGTGAAATTTGTGAGAGTGATTTAGAAAGTAGGCAGAATGAGATGGAGTGCATTTATTGAAGAAACCTGGTGTGGTATTCTAATAATTGGAACTAGGAAATATTTAATATCAGCAACATGTCGTTTCTGAGAAATCAAATACAGGTGCAATTATCTCTAGAAGGTTCTTTTATTTATTTTATGAAACTGTAGTGTGTCAATAAGTTTAGAATTTCTCATTAAAGCATCTGCGTACTGTATGGATGATATTCTGATGAGAGAACATCAGAGTTTTGGTTGTTTAAATGCTAAATTTTATTGCAGGTGTTGACTGTCATCCTAATTTGCAAATGGAGCAGAATCTAATTGCTCGTGGAGACTTACCTCGCTTTGTAATGGACTCTTATGAAGAATGCCGTGGTCCTCCACAGTTATTCCTCTTGGACAAGTATGATTATCAGTTTGCTTTGACTTTCTAATTACAATACCAAAGAAAAAAAGGCATATTTTATAATTGTGTCAATTCTGACAGGTTTGATGTTGCTGGGGCTGGGGCATGTTTGAAGCGTTATACTGATCCATCATTCTTTAAAGTTGAAACAGCATCTTCTGGAATAGCAACTGTAGAGGTTCAGAGGGAGAAGAAAATTCGAAAAAAGGTAGGTAGTGAAACGATCGTCACTATATAGGATCACAATCTTGTTGGTGTCAAATGAAGGGATATTCTTGTGAATGTTCCCCAACATAGGAGTCAACCAAAGTTTTTATTTGACTAAACAAACTAGTCCACCTGCTGCCTATCTTTCAAATTGTTTTCTTTGGCCTGCAGGGTGGCCTTGTTGTATAGAAGTGGTTGCAATCCTTCACAATTTTGGCATGTTTGCAGTGTAATTGGACTTGTGGAACTTAAATGCTGACCGTAGCTCACAGCATCATGTAGTTTTCTCGTAGCTTGATTGTCATGGAAAAGCTTTAGCTGTGATAAAATAATGAGCAGTCATCATTATAATACAGCACATAGAATATATCTTCTGTGTGATGATTAATCCTTACAATCTTCTCATTCTTCATTTTCTTGTCCATTTGTTTAATTAAGAATAGGTTTCGTTGAATCTTACTATTAACCCTGAATGCATGAAGTGTTAGAGAATGGTTCTTCTCAAACTGTGAATCTTAAAATGGTCATGTGTGAGCACCATGTCTTGAAAAACTTTATGAGTTATTGAAGCCACATTCATATGAATAGTAGAGTTGGTGAATAATATGCATACATGGATTTGGACAACGCTCGGTTCTTTGAATGTGTTTATCAGTTAAGTTGAGCACAAGGTGCTTCACTTTTTTTAATCAATTTGTTTCAGTCTTAAAAAACAGTACTTCATATATCAAGCCTGAAGGCTGACTGTTCTAGAAGCTTATTTTACTTTTCTAGCCGAGCTATTTTCTGTTTTCCATTCAGCACAGTAACTTGAATTTGCTCCCACTTTTTAGCATTGCATGATATGATCTTGATATGTGTTAATGCCTGGGATATAATTTGCCTCGTTATCTTTTTTCAGAAGAAAGGATCAAGGTATAGAAATGGAGAAACTCTTGAAGTACAAACATCACGCACCAAGTGAGGCCTTTGTGTTTTTTTTTCCCCATTAGATCCGTGCTTTAGTTGCAAAATCCCAAGCAAACATAAATGATTAATGAAGTAATCTCCTTTACTATTATGCAGATTGCATGAGTTGTTGTTACAGGAACATTTTGAGAATGGTCATTCTGATCCTGCACGGCTAGTGAAATTGAAGAGAAGGCAGATAAATGGATCTCCATTTGATCTGAAACCTGGGAAAAGTTACATGGAGAAATTTGTGCTCACTCCTTCACCAGAGCGTAAACAAGTTTGTGAAGATTCTGTCACTCGATCACCTTTGAAATTTACGTTGGATAATTCTAGTGAATCAGGCTATGAAATACATGAGGTCAGTGTGGTAAGTCCTGCAAAAAAGTCATTAAATGGAGTCGAAAGTTCATCTTCATCACCGAGTGAACAAGAGGCCATGCTTAAACCTGTTAAGGATGAGTTGGATAGGGAGGCTGTTGATAGTGGAATTATTATGGTATTTGACCCAATTGTTGATCGTGGGATGGATGAATTGCCTCCAACTGTCTATAAGATGGCTATTGAAGAGGAATTATTAGTTGATGCAGATATAAAAAGAGAGGGCACAGTAGATGGGGACCATTCTGATGATATGGCAAGTGAAGTGGACAACTACATGGATGCCCTTACTACCATGGATTCTGAAATGGAAACAGACAATGAGTATAAAGCTAAAAATGCTCAGGACTTGATCGATATGAGGACACAAGGTGCAGATTCTGATGCAAATGAGGAGCAGCTGGATTTTCAAGCTAATTCTTCAGATTCTCAATCTATTGGAAACTCTTCTCTGTCTGAGGGTGGGAACAGTTTGTTTAAGAAAGGAACTTCTAGCTCTTCTTACTCTGACACTCTCTGCAATTTGGTTGAGAATACAGCATCTGATGTTGAAGGAGCAGGTAAATGGTTCCCTTCTGCCACTTCTACTGAAAACCATGCGGCAAATGTTACTGATCTGCCATCAGATCATCCACCTGTATATGCGGAGACTGGCATAACTGAATCCCATCACCTTGATACAAGGGAAGACAAAATCCCTGATCCTGTTGAAGCTTCTTGTAGTTCTTGTCCTGCAGATTCGAATCCTGTCTTCCTGCTTTCAGTTCCTGCTGCACGTTCCATGGCAAGCCCCTTGACAGGACCTGAATTAGTTGAGGCATCCTCTGGCAGTGCTGAACTTGGCTCCAAATCACCGCACTGTGAAAGAAATGGGTTGTACCTGACTGATTCTTTCATTGCTTTAACTGATATCCCTTCACAGATGGGGCATGATGCCTCACTTCCAGATTCTTCTAAAAGTCATTCTGTGGATGTGTTAGATCATGAAGATCCAGACATACTAACTGATGCTCTCGTGCATGTGTTGAACATGTCAGATCTGGCTTCTGAAAAGAAAGTCAGTGATGATTCTGTGAATGAAGTGCTTCAAACAGATTGTGCAGCTGAGCATTCAACTTTGACACCAGCAGAGGAGCAATTTCCTCACTCAGCTTTGCCTGTAGTGGAGTTGGATTCTGGTGTCCCATCTCTGCCTGGTAATTCAAAAGTTGTGAAGCCTGATGGTTTGGTTTCTAAAGCGGATGATGAAATTTTAATGAGGGAAGGGAGCGCGGAAATTTCTACAACAGTGGTGGATACTTTAGAGTCGGAGTGCATTAACGAGCATCCATTCTCTGATGTAACAGCAGATGCTTCACAAGAGGAACTTGACTCAACAAAATTAAGACTCCCATGTTCTGAAGAGAATGTGAAACTTGAAGAAATTTCTGAGGGTCCAGATTCTGAGGAAAAGAATGCTTTCACGAAGAAAGTGGATATTACAAGAGGAGATGCTACTTATTTTGAACTTGAATCATGTAGTTCAGATAAACCAACTCCTGAAGATCATGTAAATTTGGCTGGTGATGTAACTGAAACTGTTCAAGCAGAAGACATGGCTGTATCAACTGCTGCTACGAGTGGTGTAGATGCTGAGGAAAGGAATGCATTCGCGAAGAAAGTGGATATGACAAGAGGAGATGCTACTTATTTCGAACATGAATCATGTATTTCAGATAAACCAACTCCTGAAGATCATGTAAATTTGGCTGATGATGTAACTGAAACTGTTCAAGCAGAAGACATTGCTGTATCAACTGCTGCTACAAGTGGTGTAGATGCTGAGGAAAAGAATGCATTCACGAAGAAAGTGGATATTACAAGAGGTGGTGCTACTTCTTTCGAACATGAATCATGTATTTCAGATAAACCAACTCCTGAAGATCATGTAAATTTGGCTGATGATGTAACTGAAACTGTTCAAGCAGAAGACATGGCTGTATCAACTGCTGCTACGAGTGGTGTTGATGCTGAGGAAAGGAATGCATTCGTGAAGAAAGTGGATATGACAAGAGGAGATGCTAATTATTTCGAACATGAATCATGTAGCTCAGATATACCAACTCCTGAAGATCATGTAAATTTGGCTGATGATGTAACGGAAACTGTTAAAACAGAAGACATGGCGGTATCAACTGCTGCTACAAGTGGTGTAGAGGCTGAGGAAAAGAATGCATTCACGAAGAAAGTGGATATTACAAGAGGAGGTGCTACTTCTTTCGAAGACGAATCATGTTCAGATAAACCAACTCCTGAAGATCATGTAAATTTGGCTGATGATGTAACTGAAACTGTTAAAACAGAAGCTATGGCTGTATCAACTGCTGCTCCAAGTGGTGTGAACAATGAAGACGTCAGCAATGTGATCATTCTGTCTTCAGAGTTAGTTTGTTCCCCACCTAGGAATTCTACGGAGATGGTAGAATCTCTTTCAATCTCTGAGGATCCAAATCAGACTAGTTTGAACCTTGATGAGGTAACTTCTGCCAAATGTCTGTCAGAATCACAGGTAAAGATGGAAGTGACTTCTACAGATTGGGATTCTAGTTCATACAAACCAGTTTCTGAAGACTATCAAAATCAAGAGGTAATTGAAGTTCATAACCCTTCTTCGGAAGTGAGCAACCAGGAGTCTGAATCTAAAGATAACCATCAGAGTCATTGTGGGGAGGTTGGTGACAATCCTGTTTGTTCGCCTGTCTGTTATCCACCAGAGTCAGGAAATGGTTTAGAACAGTCAATTGAGTTGCAAGCTGATCAAATTAGTGCAGAGTCCATGCTTGCAAACGGTGCGAGTTCTTTGTTGAGTAGTCAAAATTCATCTGCCGGCTACCTTTTAGGGCCTGGAATTCCTCCGGATCACACATCAGAATTGCAATCTGATCAACTAGACAGGAGATGCTTGAAGTCAGGTGAAGCAAGTTCTACATCAGCAGATGTTCAGTCAGAACAGATACAGAATCTGCATAACATAACCGATGAAAGATGCCCTGAACCTTCCAGTTTGAAAGACCTCTCCAGTCAAGAATTTCTACTGCAATCAGCCTGTCAGGGACATAATGTTACTGATCAAGCAATAAATCCATTTGATTCTGCTTTTCCTAGCTTTGGTGCACTCCCTGTTCCTGAGACAAGCCAGGTCAATCCAGAGGCAATGCCACCATTGCCACCTCTACCTCCGATGCAATGGAGGTTGGGGAAAATTCAACCTGGTCCACCAGACGCAGACAGAGATATGATGGATCATAGTCAACCTACTTCTCAACCAATTGAAACATTTATTGTTGATCAGAAGGTCCAGTTTGATTTCCCAGCATTAGATAGAGAGATTGTGCATCCTTCAAACCCATTTTTGTCTCTCCCTGTTGAAGACAGTCAGAGGTCTCAACACTTGACAACAGAGTTAATGGGAAATTCCTTGCTGCCAACTACACTCTTGTCAGGAATGCCAACCATTGACAACGATGCACAATATCAACAGGATGACCTCCTGTCAGACAGAACACAATCTGTGAACTCATCTTTGGCCTTATCAGAAATGCCTGGTGAGAGGCATGAGCATGGCTTCCTTCAACTAGGAGGAGAATCCATGCAATTTAGTTCCAACCCATTCTCACTAGAGCCGGGCATAAATGATACAGCTGCTGTAAATGATTCAATGCTCCGTCTATTTAGCCAATCAGCACCCGAAACAGGATTGGAGGTGAAGTTTCCCGGACAGAGTTCACAAAATGCAGAAGGGGAACAAGAGAATTCTTCTGGTGAATCTGCAGTGCCACTAAATACAGAAGAAGAGCAGCATCACCATGATTTTGTAACTTCACATGGACTGCCAATATGGCCGCCAACTACATTAGGTATGACACCACCAACCTATGAAGTTGGAAAGACAAATGGAAAGAAGATTCCTCGCCCTCGAAATCCTCTCATTGATGCTGTTGCTGCACTTGATAAAAGCAAGGTAATGGTTATCTGTGGTTTCTTCTTTGCAATCGGTTTTTCTGATGTCTTATGCTGTGTAGTCCTTACTTTGTGATGATTTGAACCTTTTTGCAGTTGAGAAAGGTGGCTGAACGAGTTCGACCGCAGCTGGGACCCAAGTTAGAAGAAAGAGATTCACTGCTGGAACAGATACGAACCAAGGTTCCATCCTGCATTTTCTTTTTTATTTATTTTTTCCTCTCTTGGTGGCATTACCCCCTTCATGTTGAGGACCTGATGTTTGTTCTCTCCCCTTTTCACTCCAGTCCTTTAACTTGAAGCCTGCAACCGTGACAAGGCCTAGCATGCAGGGTGTTCAGGGTCCGAAAACCAACTTGAAGGTTGCTGCCATCTTAGAAAAAGCAAATGCAATTCGCCAGGTCTGTCTGTCTCTGTCTCTCTCACTCTTGTGTGTGATTGTGTACATGAATATAATAATTATGATGTCTACTTTTGAAATAGGCATTGACTGGAAGCGACGAAGATGACGATTCAGACAGCTGGAGTGATTCTTAATCAAAACTCCTGCCCACATCATGTCAAGGTTGCAGGAGATATTGCCTCGAGATTCTTCAGAGATGTTATATCCTCTCCCTTGAAGTAAATATCAAACATCTACAATTTTTGGTATTCTTTTGCTCTCTGCACTATATCATGTATAATATACTCTTCTTGCCCCCCTCCCGCTCATGTCTTCATCCCCTACATATATTCAACAAAGATGTCTTGCCAGTATGCTGCTCTCTGCATCCTTGGAATTCCAGTGTCGAGGTGAAATGATTCAAGATTGACTGTGGGTCAGCGTGTAAGCGCTCTACCCAAAAAATTGTATTGTTCTTTCTCAAAGTATATTAGCAGGTGTAAATTGTTGGAGTCGCATAATTTGTGATGTGCTAGGAACATCATGAAATTTTGCAACCTCGTATGTTTTGTCGTGATACGTAGTTTCTGCCATACATTGCTGTTTGTTTCTGGCTTAGGAACGATCCCTTGATGGTTTGGGTGATTCTTTACTGTAATTATCACTGAATTGGCACGATTATTTTGTCTACTTACGATTGAATATATTATATTGCAGCCAAAAGTTGGATATGCCTGATCGCGTGTATGAGCGCCTTAGATTTATCCTGAGACTTGATCTGTCCTTGATTTTTGCATGCGTGCTGGTGGCTGCTACTAGCATACCTAGAAAGTAATTGAAGCTTGTGTGCCAGACAATTTATTTTTCGGCCAATCCATTTTCAACAATTGCATTTCACAACATAAGATAACAAGCTTCCACTTCTTAACAGAATGCGTTTCTGATAAATTCACACCAGGGTAAGGTTCAAAATATGTGATGAAAGAAAGACTAATAGTTCTCATCTAAAATTTGATTAGTTAATAGAACCAGATCCAACTAGTGTACCGTGTATATTTTGTGCATTGCAAAGCTTTTCGTACTTTGATCACAGAAAATTATGATTCAAATGGTAAAACTCAACATTGACGTGTTCAAAGTTGTTTTTAGCATGGTTATTAAACTTGATTGGCTGAGTGATCTAGTTTAATTGGCTGAGTGACCTAGTTACTTCTCTATCCAAAGCCTGTTTGGCTTGAAACAAGTTTTCTTTTTAATTAGGATGGATACAAGTTTTTTTTCTAACTAGGATAGATATTCACCTGATTTATTAAAATTAAATAACTTGGCAGGTTAATTCATGACTTGATTAATTCAGTTAATCTGGATGAGATCTAATCAAGACTTGATTGATTTAGTTACATTAGTTAAATCTGGATGAGATCTAATTAGATCACCTTCAAATAATTTGTTTTTGTTCAAAATATTTTTTATTTAAAAAACCATTGAAATTATATATTTTTTTTAGTTTACTCAGATCTTAAATCAGGTTAGACTTAATAAGACATGAGTTGATGTATGTATACTTTGTAATTACAAGCTCAAACTCCTTATTAATCAAACAAGCTTCTTGGTTATATATCGAACCAATGTTTGAGCTCTGTTCAAACTAATGAGGTTAATGATGCAAATATTATCGGATCATCTGTGTAGAACAAGTTTAATACGGGTGCATCATGGGACCTAACCACTGATATCTTGGCTCCAATAGAATCTCAGATAGAAACTCAAATGCAAGGACCCATTCTAAACACCGTGATAAGAAGAAGATGAAAGGACCGATTTTACATAATTACTAGTATGACACACAGTTCGATCGATTTTTAGAGAAAAATGCATGAATAATATGCTGTGGTAATAGAGGATAGTGTTAATTTAGCAAAGAAAGAGATGGATGACTGCCAATTGGTGGGCTTAGGCGTAAATAGATAGGTTGTTATGTCTCCTTGTTGTTTCGGCCTGACCCAAAATCTTTTAGGGCCCATCAGTATCATATGCCAACATGTCCGTTTTGAATTCGTGGGGAGATTAATGAATCTTTTATATAATAATAATAATAATAATAATAATAATAATAATAATTTGATTCATTTAAAATAAAATTAATGATTTTTTTTTAATAATAATAATAATAATAATAATAATAATTTGATTCATTTAAAATAAAATTAATGATTTTTTTTTTGTGAAAAATACTTTTTATACTTTATTGTTTCATTTTTAAGTATTTGTTCACATAAAAAAAATGAGATTTTTTTCTTTAAATCTGGACATAAATATTTTAATCTAGCAGGGGAGTGAATATGTATTGTTTTTGGTACTACCAACTCACCATAGTCAACAAATCATTATTTAACCGCTTCAACCATCACAACAAATACAAATCCTATGCTCATAATTTCTTCTTCATCATTATTAATTCTATCACAAGCATCGCTACTTTTCTTATCTCATTATCATAAATAAAAAATTAATTTATTTTACAAAAATGTTTTTTTTAAATAACTTTTTTCTTTTTTTTAAAATGTATTCCTTGTAAAATATTCAATTTAAAACAAACTTAAAATCACTTTGCCATGTTAATCAACATAACCATAGAGAGTTTGCTTATTTAGTGATGAGTGATAGTGGAAAAGAAAGTGATGATAATAATAATAAAGGAAAAGAAAATAATGGTGACGGTGATTGAAATAATTAGATGTAGATTATTATTTATAAAATATTGTATGAAATTTTATTGGTTAAAAATATTTTTTAATAAGTGAACTAAGTTTGAAGGTTCATTGTAAAATATTTATCATTTAACCAATTTTACTGTATATTTTATGAAAAATTAAAAAAAAAAATTTCAATAAAATATTTTAAACAAAACAAATGTATACTAAATTTTACTACTACTAACCATGGCAATACCTCAACGTTGCATGTCATGCAATAAATTCTCACGACTTCTTTAATATGGTTATAAATCTCCAATCCTTAAACTATCATATAATGAGAAGACGAAGAAGAAGAAGGACGAGGAGGAGGAGGAGGGGAGGAGGAGGAGGAGGCGGAAACCATTTTAAGTAATCATTTATATGGAACAAAGCTTGATTTATCGAGAAGAAGGCGTGAATAACATGTTGTATTATTACTAGAAATAGGAAAACACCAATGTTATCTTAGCAAAGAAAGAGATAGTTGCAAACTAACGTAGAACGCAGAGGTGGCTTAGGACGTTCTAATTGATTAAATGGATTGATACTTGATACCATCTTGCTTCTCTGTAATTACATTCTCTCATCGCAGGAATATGACTATTTAATTCAAATTTAATGGATATTAATCTGAATTGACAAGTGGATATTTTTTTATAATTACTTTGGTTTATGAGTAATGAATAGAGTTGAAATATCATCAAATCTGACATAAATCTGAAATATATTTTTATATTATATAAATATATATGTAAAATATTTTTTTAATACAATATAATACATGTGTATCTTAATAGTAACACAACACACATATGTATTTTATTTTATTTTTTATTAAATAATAAATAATAGACATACAATGAATATCCATATCAATACTTAAAACTCAATGGACAAGATAAAGATTTTTAAATCTCTTACTTGATGAATAATGAGTGGTGTGTAAATATAACAAAATTTAATTCGTGAATACCCATTATCATCATTTAGCTTTCTATTTTAAATTTAATAACCACTAAATTTATATTTTAATATAATTTTTTTTTATTCGATATCAATACTAATATATCAAGTTTAGATTCAAAGAGATATTCATAAGCAATTCAAAAATAAAAGATTTCAATATGTATGATTTATTTTAAATCCAAGATTTGTATTGATTAATGAAAATCGATCCCAAAATATTTCTTTGTTAACCTATCAACAACATTAAATTTAATAATTATGATTAGAACTCACAAATAAATCCGTGTAATGGGCAATTTTTTTTTATCAAAGCATATTTCAAACAAAAGCCTATAAAGTTAAAAACTAACACTTAGAAAGCCCATAAATAAAATCAATCCATCAACCCGTGTTCTTCTGTTGAGGTATTTTTTTTATTTTGTGATTTTTATCTTCTCTTTTAGTTCTCTCTTAAACTCTTTAATAAGCAATTTCTTTATCTTAAAAGAAAACTATAAGTAGTCTTAATTAGAAAATTTTTCACTTAATTCTCTTTTAAACATTCTTAATTAACTCATTTTAACTTAATTAAAGGATAATTAGGATGAAGAATCTTTTTCTAAGTTTTATTAAACTAATGTTAAAGATCTCTCGTTAACTACATATACACATTAAAAATAATAGAAAGAAGACGAAGACAAAAAGAAAAAAGATAATTTGCATTGTTGTAATTTTTATTTCCTATTTTTTAGTTTCTTTACAACTTTCTTTTTTATATAAGAGTTTCCTTCATATCTAAATACCTAACAAATTTCTATCTAACTCCTAACCAACTAACTAATTAATAGCAACACAAGCTTTATTAACTAAAAATACAAGCTTTATTAACTAACTCACTTGCATACCTCTTTCCTACCAATTCCCAAGATTCTTGTCCTTAAGGATCTTGTGCAATTTTTTTGAAATTGATCATTGGATTCTTCCTAATAACCTTGATGTTGTTTACTTTTTTATTAGTGTGAAACAAATAAAATGGAGCTCTCTTTCTCCCAAAAAAAAATAACCTTAAACTTTAGTAGATGCTTAAAGGAAAAATATTTAACAACTAAATAATCCTGTCAAACATTGATTAATTTTTTATAGAAAAAAACATACTTTTCCTTATTGATCTTCTTAGACTTGCATAACTAGATATGTTTTGATTGTTAAGGAACCGCCACCCATAAGAACCCTCCCTAAGCTTCTTCTTCTTCTTGGATTTAATTTATTTTTCCTCTTTACTTTTCTTGACATCACTCTCCTCTTTCTTTTTTAATCCATCATCCATATAATTTTCAGCTTCTTACATTTTCACACATAATTCTCAAACTTTTCATAAGACACTCTATTTTTAAAAGATCAAAAAATCATTTCATAATAAGCAATATTCTTTTTATTCAAAGAATCAAACTTTACTTTATTTTCTTCAAAACCTACTTCTTTCTCTCTCAAAAACTAATCTCGGATTTAGTTAAAGAAGAACATTTTACCTCTTTGAAAGTGTTTTGATCCATTGTAGTAAGTTCTTATTATGATGAGAATTGAATATAAACATTTCTCTTTTTCATGATTGACTAAATATTTGTATAATATTGAAGAGCATTGATGATTGAAATAACATCTTGTATTTGAAGTAAAGCTTATTTTTCATTGTGAAGCATAACAAGTTTTGTTATAATTTTAAATGACTAGAATAATTGAATTAAGTTAATTTTAAAAAACTCAATGACCCACGTTACATGGATAACATGGATAACTTTGAAAGGCTCATTCATTTTCTTTTAAGCTTGGGTTGCTTTTATGGATGAAAGAATTACAAAAAAATGATTTTTTTGAGCTTTTCTTAATCCTGAATCACAACATTGATTTCTTGAAGTTATTGGTGAATATTTCACATTTGTTCTTCAAATCTCTTGTTGTGTTTCTCTAAAATCTTCATTATGTTGTTTTGCATTATTATTAATTGTTTCTTGAACACAAGCTACCTTTCTTTATTCTTGAAAAATAACTCTAATACTGATTATTAAGGATATCTCTTTAATAACAAAAAAACTTTAAAAAGTATAGAAAATAGAATAGAAATAAAAGAAACTAAGTATGTCTTCCTTAATCGTCACAAAATCAGCAGGCATCAGGAACCGCCTCATTCACGGCTTCAGCTGTCTCAAACATCTAAAACACATCCACGCAGTCCTTCTCCGTCTCGGCCTCGATGAAGACACTTACCTCCTTAACAAGGGCTTACGTTTCAGCTTCAACTTTGGCAACTCGAACTATTCCTTTCGCATATTAGATCAAACGAAAGAACCCAACATTTTCCTTTTCAATACAATGATTCGTGGCTTAGTTTTGAACGATTGTTTTCAAGAATCCATTGAGATTTACCACTCTATGAGGAAAGAAGGGCTTTCTCCTGATAGTTTTACTTTCCCCTTTGTCTTGAAAGCGTGCGCGAGAGTTTTGGATTCTGAGTTGTGTGTCAAGATGCATAGCCTTGTGGTGAAAGCAGGTTGCGAAGCGGATGCGTTCGTTAAGATAAGTTTGATTAATTTGTATACGAAATGTGGGTTTATAGATAATGCATTTAAGGTGTTTGATGATATTCCTGACAAGAATTTTGCGTCGTGGACGGCGACAATAAGTGGGTATGTTGGTGTTGGGAAATGTAGGGAGGCGATTGATATGTTTCGGAGGTTGTTGGAGATGGGTTTGAGGCCGGATAGTTTTAGTCTTGTTGAAGTTCTGTCTGCTTGCAAGCGAACTGGGGATTTGAGAAGTGGGGAGTGGATTGATGAGTATATAACGGAGAATGGCATGGTAAGGAATGTGTTTGTGGCTACTGCTTTGGTGGGTTTTTATGGCAAATGTGGAAACATGGAGAGAGCGCGTAGCGTCTTTGATGGGATGCTGGAGAAGAATATTGTTTCTTGGAGTTCTATGATTCAGGGTTATGCTTCTAATGGGTTGCCTAAAGAAGCTTTAGACCTCTTTTTTAAAATGTTGAATGAGGGTTTGAAACCTGATTGTTATGCTATGGTGGGAGTTCTTTGTTCTTGTGCGAGGTTAGGGGCGCTAGAATTAGGGGACTGGGCTAGCAATTTGATCAAGGGAAATGAGTTCTTGGATAATTCTGTCTTGGGTACGGCATTGATTGACATGTATGCAAAATGTGGGAGAATGGATAGCGCCTGGGAAGTTTTCAGGGGAATGAGGAAGAAAGATATAGTAGTTTGGAATGCAGCTATATCAGGTCTTGCCATGAGCGGACATGTGAAAGATGCATTAGGGCTTTTTGGCCAAATGGAGAAGTCTGGGATAAAGCCAGACAGGAACACTTTTGTTGGCTTACTTTGTGCTTGTACTCATGCTGGTCTAGTTGAAGAGGGTCGTCGATATTTCAATAGTATGGAGTGTGTGTTTACCTTGACTCCCGAAATTGAACACTATGGATGCATGGTGGATCTTCTTGGTCGTGCAGGTTGCTTAGATGAAGCTCATCAGCTTATCAAAAGTATGCCAATGGAAGCCAATGCTATTGTTTGGGGAGCATTGCTGGGTGGATGCAGGCTGCATAGAGACACCCAATTGGTGGAAGTCGTGCTGAAAAAACTCATAGCATTAGAACCGTGGCACTCAGGTAATTATGTTCTTTTGTCAAATATATATGCAGCAAGTCACAAATGGGAAGCAGCAGCAAAGATTAGGTCAATCATGAGTGAAAGGGGGGTTAAGAAAATACCAGGGTATAGTTGGATTGAAGTGGATGGAGTTGTTCATCAATTCCTTGTGGGGGATACGTCCCATCCTTTATCAGAGAAGATATATGCAAAACTTGGTGAAATGGCCAAGGACTTAAAAGCAGCAGGTTATGTTCCCGCGACAGATCATGTGCTGTTTGACATAGAAGAAGAAGAGAAGGAGCATTTCATTGGTTGTCATAGCGAGAAGCTGGCTGTTGCCTTTGGTTTGATAAGCACAGCTCCAAATGACAAAATTCGTGTTGTGAAAAATCTTCGTGTTTGTGGTGATTGTCATGAGGCAGTAAAGCACATTTCTAGAATTGCAGGTAGAGAGATAATTGTGAGAGATAACAATCGATTCCATTGCTTTACTGATGGTTTGTGTTCGTGTAAAGATTATTGGTGAGAACTGTTTGAGGTAATGGTTTCACTGGGGCATGTTTGACGTGTTATACTGATCCACCGTTCTTTAGAGATGAAACAACATCTGCTGGAGTAGAAATCAGAAGAAGCTCAGAGGGAGAAGAAACTTCTGAAAAACCAAGGTATGTATAGGATCAGAATTCTTAAGTGTATCCTATAAAAAGAGAGTTTTATTAATCTCACCAATGTAGGATTCATCCAAGGATTTTATTTGAGCAAAACACCAGTCTGGCTGCTGTCTATCTCTCAAATTTTTTAGCTTTGGCCTGCAAGGAATCCTCGTGGTGGCAAGTTAGGCCACTTTAAAAGCTTTTTGTATACATGCATGCAAATGTAAAAAATATCATAAATTCATATGAATTAAGAGCATAGAACTTTATTTACAATAGTAAACAATTAAATTTAAAATTATTGAGTTCAAAAAATTAAGAATAAAAACTTGAAATCATATAGATATATGAAAATATCAGGGGAATATTCTCAGATTTTGCTAATAAAAATAAGAAATGCCTAATAGTGAAAAGTAATGTAGTAATGAAAAAAAAAACCTTAAAAAAAGGAAATAAAAATAATAATAACAGAAAGATGGTGAATGGGTGGGTTGTTTTTATTAAATAATGGCACTTTTGAAGTTTTAAGAGTTTTTAATGGTGAAAAAAGGATGCAAGCAAGAACTTCTTTTCATATTTGGGACATCCTCTTGGTACGTGGCATTCTTCTTTGAAAGAGAACCTCACCGAAGCTTGCTAACGAGTTGCATTTTATGAGGTAATGCCTGTACCAGAGCATTTACTGGTGCAGGCATTACCTCATAAACTAGAGATGAAAAGTTATGAACCATGTCCGCAATATTATGCCAATTGAGTGAATTATTTTTGCTGCATTTTCTGTCATTTTACATCTGGGAAATGTGTTCTTCTATCAAGTTTGTTACCTCTGTGCTGCTTAATTTGTTGCACAATGTTAGAGGTTTATAAGCAGTTAATCGGTGATGATAGTGAAACTGTGTCTTGATGAGTAGCTCAACAATTTTTGACATTTTTTTATGGCAGGACCAAAGCAGCAAGGCAATCATGCCAATTACTTGCAATTGGTTTGGATTTTTGTTTCAAAATACCCAGTTTGATGCCACACATGATTGAAAGCCAGGTAATGGTGTTTTGCAGGGTCCTGTTCTTGGGCTGGTTTTTCTGATGTCTTGGGCAATTGGTTTGGATTTTTGTTTCAAAATCCCCAGTTTGATGCCACACATGATTGAAAGTCAGGTAATGGTGTTTTGCAGGGCCCTGTTTTTCGGCTGGTTTTTCTGATGTCTTAGGCTGCAAAATCCTTTCTTTGCAACATTTTTAGCCCTTCTGCAGGTGAGAAAGGTAATTGAATCCTGAATGAGTTCGACCCCAGACCGGACCAAATTTAGCAGCAAGAAATTCACTGCTAGAATAGATATCAACTAAGATTGGATCTCCTCCTGCTTTTCCTCTATGTGCTTTATTTACCACTCCATTTCTTGATTCGTTTCTATTCTCTCATTTTAGCATTACATATCTATTGTTCCGGGGACTTTTTTTCTTATTTATCCGTGTAGCTCGTTTACTTGAAGCCTGCAGCAGCAACAAGGCCAAGCATTTGGGGTTTTCAGGACCCAAAAATCAACCTGAAGATTGCTGCCATCTTGGAAAAAGCAAATGCAGTTCACCTGGTCTCTCTATTTATGTGTGGGCAAGCACTAGTATGATTTTCAATTTTGAAATAGCCCATGGCTGGAAGTGACAAAGATGACAGGGTGGGGTGATTGTTGAGGAAAACTTGTTCAAGTTGGTGGTCATTTCAGTGAAATGCTTCAAAGATGCTATGTTCTCCCTTGAACAGCTTAATAACTACAAATCTTGGCATTCTTTTGCTCTCCACAGTTTAGACTTTGAATCTCGTTCTTCTGCTTTCGTCATTGATGAGTGAAGAAATTTTATTGATTAGAAAACGAAGAAAAATATCTGCTACAGCTGACACAATAGGACCAAAAATCGTTAAATAAATTAGTCAGAAATAGGACGGACTTCATTATCTACATTTCTATTAGGATAAAGATGAAGAGTCTTGATGTTACTTTATCAGGGCCCATGCTTCCTACCATTAGATGGCTACTCTTTCAAGCTTTCTGCAAAACTTGTGTTCCGAAGATTCTATAATTCACTGAGTCAATCTTCGTCACAGTGACTGATTTGCTACAATCTCATCATTGGTTCCATCCCTTCATGATACAGACATCACCACAATAAGAACAGCAACGAGCATAAAAAGACAGAATTCGACGAAATAGGTTCTCTCACAAAAACAAAGTTACAGAAAGTCTGATTTTTACAGTCTATCTAACTTTAAATAGGATAGAAAATCAACCGTACATGGTAATAAAATAAGAATCCTAAAGTCAAAAGGAAGAAAAGCACACACAAAAAACAGGAGAATTATATAAAATCAAGAAAAAATAATAAAAATAACTCAAACAATATCTTCGAGGTCAAATTTGATATTGTTTTGAAGCTTGTTTGATTATAGCCAATTATGTTTTTCATAGATCTGGGTCTCATAAATCCCATGAAATTTTTTTAAGTCTGATTCAAAGCTTTCTTGATTAAGTAAAGCTGAAGAAGAAAGGATGAAAAGCTATGGCTTTTGAATTTAATGTTGTTTTGTTAGTCTGGTGTGATTGAGGCTCATATTGGGCTTGGTTTTATTCAACTGGTCCATAAACACATCAACCAATTCATCTTCATGATCCATTGGTAGCTACCCCATTTAACTAAGTTAAATTTTCACCTCCTTCTAATCTTTATTTTTTACTAGTCTAGCTATATGATTTCATTCATGATAATATAGTTTTAAAACTTATTTCAAGCTACCGGTAAAAAGAATTAATTTTAATTAATTTTTAATAAAAAATCAAATAATGTTGTTTTAACAATAAAATTTTAAAAAATAAATAAATAAATTGATGATTGGTCAAGTCTGAATCAATTAAGTGAAATCAACTCGAGTTTTAATTCGATAAAATAAATTTTGTTTTTTAATTTTTTCAACTTGAATAGTTTTTAATCTTGGGTCAGTAAACAATTAAAATTAACCAACATATCTTTACTATAAATTAATTTTTTTAAATCAAAACAACATCAAGACTCGAGTGGGATCTACCTCAAAGTTATATCTTGAAACTATGCTTCCTTCGCCTAATAATATAAGACACTCTCGCTTCCGCCCACTGATTGCCTTCACCTCTCATCGACATCCACTTATGACGTATCCAGTGACGAGGTGAAATAGAGATACTTCAACACGTGGCTCAGTCAACCCTCCCACCAGGTCCTACCATTAATCAAGTTGATGGCCATCTCTCACTCTCATTATTTTCTGACAATTTTCTTGATAATTTATTATTAGCATTATGGTTGTAAATATTTTTTATTTAAAAATATATTTTTAATTTTTAAAAAATTATTTTTAATATTCGTTCATCAAAATAATTTAAAAATAAAAAAAATAAGAAAAACTATTATTTTTAATATTCGTTCATCAAAATAGTTTAAAAATAAAAAAATTAAGAAAAACTTTAAATTTTTTTTTAATTTTTTTTAAATATAAAAACAACAGGAAAGTACAAATAGGACCTGTCTTTCTTCCGTATGGAAATAATTCTAGCTCTGGCCTGTGGCTTCTCCGCACCAGTGATCTCTGACAAAAGTAGAGAGACAAAAATCAACATTCTAGATAATGACCAAAATAGAGAACAATGGCGTGTTTTTGTTCCTACTCGCAGCTGACCGACCTCTCTCTCACGTCACAACTCCCGTCAACAAACACCAGATTACTCTTCTTCTACACTCTTTTGACCGTCCACTCTTCTACTTTACTAGCTCCTCCTCCACTCTTCTTCTCTATATATACATATACCCTCCACCCCCCCTTCTCCAATGCCCTAAAACATCAACCAGATCAAAGAAACAGTGTTGAAGACAATCCTGCAAGCTGATATTCAATTCAAACTCTTGAAACCCTACAGAAAAAACATGGGAAACTACACTTCTTGTTGTGTTTTTTTTACCTGCTCAAGAAAAGTACCCAAGACTGCAAAACTTATGGATTCCCAGGGGAACTTGAGGCAGGTAAGTCTCCCAGTGAAAGCTGCAGAGCTTATGCTTGAAGAACCTGGCCATGCAATTTGTCCATTGCATGAGCTCAAGCAAAGGAGTCGTGTAATAGCCATGCGAGCTGATGATGAGCTTTCGCCTGGAAAGGTATACTTGTCAGTTACTTTAAGTAAAGTAAACTGTAAGATTTCTGCGTCGGAGGTGGCGATTATGGAGTCTACTACTGCTGCTAGTGCGAAAAGGTCGAGCAAGAAGATAAATGGTGCCAAGGTTTTGCCTGCTATGGCCGTGGAGATGAGGGAGTTGGAGGAGGGATCAGAGGGCGAGGTTAACGTTTTGGAAGGAAATGATCTAACGAGCTCTACCAGTTGCCGGTTAGTGAATTATAGGCAGTGGACGCCGGCGTTGGAACCGATATCGGAGGATTTTTGATCGGAGAAGGATTTTTTCCCTCTTAAATTGTCCAGATCACTGTTTTTAACCGGGCATGACCCAGGTTAATTCAAGACCTTATCGTTCTGGGCTTTGAGTTTTTTTAAAAAAAAATAGACATCAAGATAAACCTAAATCAAATTGAGAGGTAATGATAGGGCTACTCAATGAGAAGTTAGGTGTGCATATGGTTAACTAACAAGTAGGATTAAAGAATTCAATTGATTTGTTAATTTATTACTCCTTTGTGTAAACGTAGTTTTTTTTTTCCCCTGGTATCAATTGTGAGATGATTAATTGTCATTATGTTAGTCTAATTTTTTTTTTATCATATAAAAAAAGTATCAAAGTGATGCAAACATGTCCATATAAGTTTTTTTAAAAAAAATTAAAAATTCAGGTGATTGATTTAATTAAGTTTAATAAACTCATGTAATTTTAATAATATATAAAAAGGAGTAATAACAATAAAAAAAACTAGCAAATAAAAAGAGGTAAAAAAATGATTTAAATCCATTCAAGTTAATATATCAAATCTAAAATTTGATTGTAATACCAAGATAATTATGTTAAAATCAAATTAAATAAATGAATGAAACTTAATTATCAAATAATATATTGTTAAATAATAAAATAAAATAAATGCAATGAAAAAAGATTTAAGTTAATGTGTGAACCTTGTGAGGGAAAAAACATCAAATCCAATAAAAACTTAAAAAAACTAAAATCAATTTATGTTAATATTCTAAACTCATGATACTATTCATGAATTATATATTAACCTCATATAAAACAAATATAAAAAAATTAACAAAGTAAATATATCAATAAAAACTTAAAAAAACTAAAATCAACTTATGTTAATATTCTAAACTCATGATGCTATTTATGAATTATATATTAACCTCATATAAGACAAATATAAAAAATTAACAAAGTAAATATGTCAATCACAAAGTACTATGTATGAAATTGACAAAAAAAAGACAATAAAACAAAATCTAAAACAAAATAAATAGAAATAATAAAATTATCAAATTTGACATACTTATAAATCAAAATCAAATGTTAAGAAATGAAATTAAAAATAATAATAAATATAGATAAATAATAAATAAATATCAATTAAAAGAATAAGAACTGAATTTGATTCAAGAATTAAAGAAAATCATATGATAATGAATAAAATTTTAAAAATAATAATTTAAAAAGATAAAAAAATAAAATAATAACCTATGTTAATACTCAAAACCTATAATAGTAATTATGAGCTTGGGACTGACCCTATAGAAGACAAACCCTAAAGAAATAAACAGGGGATAAAATTGAAAAGAAAAATATAATAAAATAGAATTTAAAACAAAATAAATAGCAATAAAACAAAAAAAAATTAAATTTGATATAAAAAATCAAAATCAAAATCAAATATTGAGAAATGAAATTAAAAATCAAAGTCAATTAGAAAAATGATAAAAAATAAATAATAATTAAAAATGAAGATTATATTTGATATAAAAATTAAATGAAAGTAAATTATAACAGATTAAATTGAATAAAAAAATTAATTTAAAAAATATTTAAAAAATAATAATAAAAATAATAAGAACTAAATTATAAACAATAATTGAAAAGGAAAATTTTGCAAGTTGTCAAGAAAAAGAGAGAGAAAAGAAGAAGGAAAAGAAAAATATCCACTGAAGCCGCATTACTAGTTCCTCGTTAACATACACCCTGCTACTAGTAAATACCTGTTTGGCGCTGCGGCTGCAGCTGCGGCTACATTTTACAACAAAAGTAGGAATTTGATGTTTGGTAATCTCAAACCGTACTTTCATTTGATATGGATCCCATGTAAAAACTGAGGTTGGACCTCAACTTGTAAAAAGCAATTCACACCTGCTTTTTCACTCAATGCTATTTTCTCATCGACACTTTTTTTTTTTTTTTATCATAACAAAACTTTCCTGTAATTGAGCTAGTAGCTCTCTTCCCTTCTTCTCTGTTAAACTTGATCTGGATAAAGATTGACAAACAGACACTTTCAAGCACTCAAGGTTTTTGTGTAAGCATGGAGGCAGTAATTCTTGAAGGAATCTATTTTTTTTTTCCTGAATTCATGTATAATTGTATTTAAACTTTAATTTTGTAAAAACTAGAACATGGTTATAGATTTGTTTATTTATTTATTTTATATATAAAAATTTATTGTATGATATTTTTAATCAAATACATGTTTTTTAAAATTTATTTTTAAAAAAATCACAACTAAATTGTAGTTGCATCAATGGTAACTATATTAGAAGATGATCGAAATATAATGAGGTTTTTTTCG